CCCAAAAATGTCAGGGTTTTTTTTTACAAAAATCAAACTATGAAAATAACGTTTGATTTCTTGCAGATCTAAATTTATTGTAACTGTGTTTCAAGACAAGATAACTGATAACAACTACAATGCAAAAAGAGTCAGTTATTTGAAACGCAATTTCTTGCCTTTTCAATCCTTTAAAGCCCAGTGGTAATTACTACCACCTATCTAATAGTCACTAATTTTGCTTTATGCCCACTGGTTGTATTTTTGGGTTTCATGTGACGTTCGGAGTAAACAACGGTTAAATACATAACAGAATTAACCAACCATTCCTTGTAATTTAAAAATATTGTGTTTACTTTAAGGTGAAACCAAAGTTTTAAGTGTGATAATTTAGACGAATTTCGGGCTTATAAGGGTTTAAGGGTTGAGATACTTGAAGAAGAAAATTCTTTCTTCAAATACAGTTTAAATAACACTTGTCTTTGCTCTAAATATATTGCGTCTTCCACCAATAAACTCCCAGCTACATTATCCCAAACAGTATCTTGTTACAAAATGCTCGTTCAGTATTTTAGACGGACAGTAGCAAGAATTACACTCATAAAACTTTTGCAACGGAACCCCTCGTCTAGTCGCTTTCAATCCCAGTACTCCGAGCAACAAAGTTTCGGAAACACTGGAATCTACACGCACGCACACACGTGTGAGTTGTGGCATTTCAGTCAAAAAAGACACGAAGAAAGAAATAAACGACCAGGTTTCGATCCCCGGCAGGTCAGCAATTTTTCTCTTTGCCACATCGATTAGATCGGCTCTGAGGACGCTCAGCCTCTTTCTCAATGGATGCCGAGGAGTCTTTCTTCGGAGATGAAGCAGCCGGGAGGTGGGGCTTTATAGGCCAATGTATTGTATCACTTGTGACTTTTCAATTACATTTCATTACAGACAGTCTACAGGAAAATGGGGAATGTCTAAACCGGACGTAATTTTGAAATGGGATCCACTTCGCTTGCCTGTGAGTGTACTTGATTTCCCTTTCTGACAACCAAAAGAAGGATGGTGTGTAGAAACAGTACATATATAAAACAGCCACCTAATGTTTCAATGTATCTCCTCTTTATTCGCCCCCTCCCCTAAAATACCAGTTAACAAAACACAAACAGCAGTGCAGCCCGCTAGCCGCCATATTTAAACAGATGAAGCACGGTCCATCGAGTGACACGATTGTCATTTGTCACATGTGAAACTGAATTGCCGTGCAGACAATGGAGCCCCCTAATCGGATATAAACGCTGAGCAGCGTGACCTACTGGTTAAATTATATAATCTGTTTCAAAAACATCGCCTCCCCATATGGTCCGATTGCATTTAATACCAATCGGCATATGTCGAAGAATTCTTTGGATAGCGTTCTCGAAGAAGTTTTCGCTTCAGTCATCTGTGACTTAAGCTTGTAAGGCATCGGGTTTCATAAATCAGCCTATATTAACTTATCATAAACTAGGCCTAAGGTAAATCCGGGAGAGATGCCGCACTTCAAAAAATACCACATCTGATTTAAAAAATTATACATATACATTAAAGAGTACTCAAAAATGCCTGTCCTGTTGCATTATCTTGCAACTAGATTAAATCATTGTTTCTAAAAAAATGACGATGAAAATCAAGTTTGCCTTCTTACAGAATTGATTATAACTTACTCGCTTTACAAGATGCCCCCTGAGTACATAAGAAAAAGAAACGTTAATAGAGGTCAGTGGAGCGAGGAAAACCTCGGAGGTTACAAGCAAATGAAATATCGTTCAGGAAAGCAGAACGCTATTACGGCATCCCAGCAAGAACCTTAAAAAGAAGACTGGAATCAGGAAATATAAACAAAGGCCGACTTGGACCTGCAGGTATTCTATTTTCCTTCTGAAGTAATCAGGTACAGCACTTCCTTATTTAGGCACAATAATGCAAATGACAACCTAAAATTTTTAATATTTTTAATATTTACCGAAAAATTAGGCAAACTATTAGAGAGGGGATAGGTTCTATGGGCTCAGGGGTTTGAAAGGTGTTTAACCCTTTGCGGTCCCATGTCGGACTGAGTCTGTCACGTATTTTACGAATTTGTACGTGATCTGGAGTCAAACTGAGGCTGGCATACAGTGTCAGCGTATCATTCAAGCCTTCTTCTTTGCACAAGTTCTATCCAAGTTTTCCTGGTAAGACTTTGTGAACCTTGTAATAGTAAAAGAAAGCAGGGGAGTAAATTCGTTTTATTCTGACACGTGTCCAAAGAAGCCAGGATTCCACACTAAGTGTTTTGCCATGCATCATATTGTGAAGGAATACCATTGGGTGTGTAGCTGTCTTATTTGCTTGGAATATAAGTATTTTATATCTGATAAAGTTAGAAACAAATATCCCATCTTCCTACTAGGAAATTCTATTTTTCAAAATTATTTTTGATGCATTGAGCAATCCACCAGTGACATATGCATATTCATTTGTCTTCTTATCAAGCATTCTTCTTTGTTTACGCTTCGCGTTCTGTTTCACTTTCCTGGTGTTGAATTTGGTCTTCATCTTTCGGACACAATCAGCTCGACAGGAAGCATAGCTCTGATACTAAGAAATCCAATGCTTATACCTCGTTTATCTTCATGCAATAAGATATGTTCAGACGTCGCCAAAGTCATATCTACTGACTTGGACTCACATTCTGTAATGAACGACAGCAAGCAGAAACGTACCACTAATTACACATCTCACTAACGACAGTGGTACAGTCCGTGAAAAATATTTCACACTGTCAGTATTCAAACAAGAGGAACTGTGATCCTCTCACAACATATTTTCACCACATTTAGCAAAGTTTCATTCGTTTTATGCAAGTTATAAAAGAAAATCAAACCAGTTCATAATAGTAGTTGAATGTATACAGCTTAGTGGTATTTAAATAGACCAGCAGAGAGCACGAAGTGGTATTCAAAAGGGACCACAAAAACGAAAAACATTACTTCCAGAATGAGAATGACAGAATAAAAAAGTTATATCATTATTTTGTTTTCTTCTCAGGTTTATTTGGACCAATTAATGAGAAAAAATCGTCGCTCATATTCAGACACTCTCATATCCTACAGCGCCTTTAAATAACAACCAATTACTATCCCTCTACACCTAGGTCGTCCGAATGTTGTCTTCCCTTCAAGCTTCAATCAAAACGTTTTGCGCAATTATCATATCCTATGCTCGCAAAATACCCAGTCCATCTCCTTCTCCTTAATTGAATAAACACAATAGCCTAATATTTGGTGAAGAGTAACCTGCATATTACGAAGACCACAATTATGTTAAGTTTTAATAATTTACTTAGGCCTATATTTGACTTGTGGACAAAATTTTAGCTCCCTGCAACCTCACCCTTCGTTTAACTACTGAGTCACGCGATCCAAAGACATCTGAAAAACTGCCATTTTCCCACAAATGAAGATGTTTCAAGGCACTGAGTAACGGCCTTGTAAACTGTGTATGGCCTCGACGTAAAGGCACATGCTTGGTATTATGTGGGTTTCAGCTCGCTTGAGGTTCCACCAGCACTTTCGGAGGCCGAAAATTTTCCGCTGCCAGAACTCTTGCAGACAATGATCTATGATATAACTTCTTTTGAAGAAAAGGACTCATGAAATGGAGAGAAAAAAACTCAAACACAGAAATGTGATATAGAAACTACTTCAGATATCTGGGCGTAGATAACAGAATATTAAAATACATATTTAGAATATTAGGTGTGAGGGAGGGGCTGGATGTATATAAAATCATGCATACAAACAAGACTGTTTACACTTGTAATACGACAGTCACGATCCATGCTTCCTATACAGTGATCCTGCTTTCAGAATGCACTAGTTAATACGCAAATGACGACCGCCGGCTTCTTTGATACTCGACCATCATAAAAATGCTTGTGACTGTCTCAGCACACCAACGACATCAGTTTCTGTGCTACTTTTCTGGGCCTTATCTCCATGACAATGACTTCCAAAATGTTTTGTCTTTCTATACTTTTGTTTTGTGTTCTACGAGTCCCTCTCCGCAGTTTTCCTTTTTCCTGTATTGTCTAATTTATATCACACTTGCCCTCCTCGGTCATTTTGCTATTCATATACAGGCCTATATATACCCTTGCTACTGTGTGACTTTACGAGGTTTACACTACGTTTGTTAAAATTTCTAATTCTGATCATAACACCAGACGTTCATTCCAATATTTTACGTCGTAAAACGAGTCTGCTGACACTCAATTTTGATAACATCCTTTGTATAGGCTGACTGGAAAGCCAAGTATAGGCCTATACTACTTGTCGCGTTACCCCATAATTCCTATTTGGTTGCTGGGAGGGCACACGTATGACAAACAATACGAGCGTACACACAAGACGCTGCACACAATAGGTTATAATCCGATAAAGGCCATTGGCTATCTAGGCGCTGAAGTCTACAGCTATTTTTATGGTGTGGTCGCGTGCACAGACGATTGTGGGCAATGACGTCATCATTCCACTACAAAACTTAGGGCGTCTACATTTCACAGGAAATTAAAAAAAACGATTTTGTATTGGCCACAAATAACATAACATCAGTAACAAATTTCATCACAATCCATTCGGCCATTTTTAAGGTATTACATGCGTACAGACGGACATCAATTGACATCAAGGTCAATGACGTCATCACGGGCCACGATGCCATCACGTATGCGCAGACGATTATGCGTCTTCCACAGCAATACATTTTGGCAAGACAGTGAATCGTCTTTCCCATTCATGGACAGACATTTCTTCCCACGACCTATCTTTTTCAAATTTATTACTCCTACAGCTACAACCCGAACCTGAACGTAAAACAGGGAAATCACACGCACCAGACATTAATCCAACCAACGAAAACGTATCTCATTATGTCAAGCACATTAGTTTTCCTTCGATACCATGGAAATCTGTTAAGGGAGACAAATTAAAAGAATTACTTACTGTCACGAATGAGTAGAACGTTCTCCTTTGTTGGCATCTTGCACACAAAACACTGGGATACGCACACTTTAACTCTACACACTCACCGCCATGACTCGAAACGAACTGCCAAAGGTTACGATTAGTGTCACTGTCGAATAAAGAACATCGATGCTCATAAACGAGCTGACATGACCAAAGATGACGTAAATGCAATCACTTCCGTTCCATGCCATAACCAAGCGTACACTCAAAATCGTTTTCTGAAAACGTCCTGATCAAATTAATATACAACTTTCTGGCACGCAATCCCAGTTGTCCATGAAATTTACCACGAAGTTTTTTCACAACGGTTCAAGACCCTGCTCACAAAAGCCAGCCAATGAACCCTATCTTGAGTCAGCTGATCTAATCCGAAAATAACATGAAAGTTAACATTCTGTGCAGTCAATGGCTTAATATTAATGAGGATATCCCTTACAAGTAAATAATAAATTGTACAAACATTGGTAAATAAAATTACCTACTTATAATTAGAAATCAAGAAATACTGGCAAGTAGAATTCTGTGGACTGCTGAAACTATATTTGCCAAACTTTTAAGCTGCATGTGAGCTCCCAGATACATGTCTACATAATTAATGAGATGAAGTAAGGAAACACATAAAATATAGCTACAAAAGAACATATTACTTGGGGCAGCCAGCAGGACTGTCACGCCTCCTTTTGTTTTTGGTTCTTCCTTCACCTCTTTCCACTTTTTAAACACAATTCAGAAACATCTGGTATAGACAGGCACATAATATACAAAATATAAAGAGTATTTATTAATAATATTATAAACTAGGCACAGTCCCATGCTACAGATCTCAATACAAGTCACACACCAACAGTTAAATGAGTTTTTATCTGCAATTTTTGTTCATGTTTCTGACAAGGCATTCTGTTTTATTTCATGCAGAGTATGACAGAACTCTGCCATGATCTTACAACCTGAATTCATTCATCTATCTGAGCTAATGGTTTATTTTATCAAAGGAATTCTCTGTATAATTCTGATCTCAAGTTTGAAATGTCATGTTGATATTGTTCCTCTGGGCCATGACACTGCATGTTTATCTGTTAAATTGGTATCTACCTACACATCCACACACGGTCACAACCCAGAACAATAACATCGACATCTTCACTGCCACGAGAACATTAAATCTCATGGTAATTTATCACTGGTAATATATCACTGTTGTGTTCTGAAAATAAATATTATACTGTGTAAGATTTGAGGTTTTCACAGCAGTGAGTATGAAGAATATTCATTGCCCTGATGACGGAGGCAGTATGACCTCTGAAACGTTGGTAAACATCAACCTGACTACACGGTGCAACAACCCAGAAGACAGAAATCTTCAGATATTCTACTGTGTGTAATTTGTGTTATGCTAAGACTAGTATGCATACTACAAATATCAAGTGGTAAAGTATAATGTAATAATTTTCTTTAAATATATAGTGAATATAATCTGATTCAGTATAGAGATACATCACATAAAACTTAAAATCAATAAAAGATAACGTATGTCAGAAACAAATATTGGTCTTTGAAGAAGTCCAAAGAAATCATCAGGCAGCCATTGCTCTGCATCAGACATTTTAAAAATGTTCCAGCTATGCATCTTAATAATAATTCAAATAACCATTGAACTTCCTTTCTTTTTGCTTCACACCTTGGCTTCTGTGATTATGGTTGCTCGCTACATCAAAATACATTCTGTATTAAACAGAAAGAACTAACCAAATCTGAAGTGTTTTTAAATTTAATTCCATTTCTAAGATCTTTTTCTACATAACTTCAAAAATCTCAGTACTTAAATGTTTATTATATGTCCAAGGTCTGAGCTTCCTAAGTATTCTGATATTGTTTAAAACTGAATAATTCTAAGCCTGACTTTCATTGTTGAGCCCAACAATGGTGAACACCTTCCTTCAAATTCGCATAATTTAAAAACTACATTTACAACCTAAATAATATGGTTACTACACATTCTTAAAAAGATTAAAGCAATTT